TCTTCTTCTTCTTCTTCTTCTTCTTCTTCTTCTTCTACTTCTTCTCCTCAACCTCTTCTTGAAACTCGCCTGCTTACTTCTATCGGTGACAGTTCTTTAATCGTTGGAACAGTTTCGCTGGTGCTGCAAGAAACATTCCGCAGTTTGAAAAAGACCGGTCATCAGTTACAAACCAACATTGAGTAGGGTTGCAATACTGTTTATCGTGCAGGCTAATTTCAATTATTTTCAGTCACGCTAGGATGCCGACTCTGTAATAAGCTTCTTTCTGACCGCTGCGAAAAAGTAGTTTCTGTAAAAAATGGCTACTTAAATATCATGCATTTTTATCATTGATTTTGACTGCCTTTATAAATTAAAATATCTTTTATGGAAAGCATGCACGAAAAATCCTCTTTTGTACTTATTTGATAGGAAATAACGCCTTCTTCAAAGTTTATTTTTAAAGCCGTATCTATTGCTGTTTCCGGCAATGAGTTGGAACATGAATACGAAAAGTCAGGCCAAAATAGTTATTATCCCAGCGATCGCGTCTCCTTTTTTACCTAATAACAAAGTTAATCAGGTTCCTTGCTTCCTCCTGCCAGATTCAGGTATCCTGATTTTCCTAAATTAAATCTCCCCTACGCGGCGGCCTCTGGACTGTTATTGCACACCAGCGCAGCCATAGTCCATCGAAACCAGACCATAATTCGTCGCCATTGATGCAACCTAAGGACACACCCTCGCTTACTGCAGATGACTGTAAAATATATTGCAGTAATAGGGCCGGCAAATACGTTGGAGAAAGCAAACGTAAATTACAGCTCGAACATCTTAGGCCGGGGCAGCTTAAGGACAAAAGAAGACGTGGTATACTGACTCCGGCAATAGGTGGATCGAGTTTAAGACTTTTAAGGACCTGCGCCATTGCATAGACAGGGCAAGACAGCCACACAGACGTGGCCAGACAGTAGACTCACCCGAAGGGAATAAAACCGACCGAAAAAATAGTCGTAGAGCCTCAACCACCCTCAATAGATGCGACGATTCACAATACACGCAGCTAAAAAAGCGCCAGACTTCCGCCAAAAGTCGAGACGGCGGAAGGAAAAAAAGGCCACCGGCGTAAAGCCAAATAGTTGGGCAATTAATTTGGTGTCCTCGTTGATTTTTTTGCAGTTGCGAGCCGACAGAGCTCTCCGAAAGGTCAGTAGCCCAATCAATGTGTGCAAGTGAACCATTTCTCCTTTTAACTATCGACGCCTAATACTGTGATCAACCCAAGAACCTACACAACTCCAGCTTTCGAATAATAGAAAACCAGCCCCAGTTATGCCAAGGAGTGTGCTCGCCTGCTGACTTAATGCGCGGCCTCCTGTTGATGCCATGGACTGCTGTCCGTTCGCGATTTCAGATAGACAGAGCTCCTAGCTGGTTAGTGTATCGCGCTCTATGTTCAAGCCTTATGTCCTTAAGGTGCTGCATAGTCCACTATGTTTGAGCAATTAGGAGTGCCTCACTGATCACCACAACAGAGGCTGTACCATCAAATTCCTTGTAGAAATATCGTACGCGCGTTGTATTGCAATGAAATAGGACACCTACAACAACAGTCTTTTCTATGGCCCCCCCTCACCAATCGTGGATTTTTCGGTTTTACGGGAAGCAGGATTCTTTATCTTGCCTTCGTCCTATTCCCTCGCTGCGCATTCTTGTCTGACGACCGCTGTCCACTTTCTACTTTGTACAGGCCTAACGGCTTACCTCCGGGGGCCGGAGATGAGTTTAACGAGAACTCCTTTGAAAGCCTGACTGCTGGCCTCTTCATGATGGCTTCACCCGGTCGCCAATTCCTGAAT